ACAGTTTCATGCCAGTACTAGTTTCAGTTATACATACTATTGATCATGATATTGCAATTATTATTACTGTTTTACTTCAACATGAGTTTCTGCGGAGCACAGTGGCTTTTAGTGCTCACGCCCCCACTATATTATCTTTTTCAGGTCACAGGGTCCGTCCAGAGGTGTGAGCACAGCTGGTGGTTGTGGGTTTGGCTATATGCCATTTTGCAGACTTTTGTTGTATATATATATATATATATATATATATATATATATATATTGCCACGCTTTACTTCTGCTGACACTTTTAGTTTTTCAAACTTGCATGTTGATTTTCAGATTTTGATCCGATTTTCCAGTCGGGTTTAGTATAGTACCACATTCTAGTTTGACTAAATATAATCCGTTTTTCTTAACAGTTTAACTCAGAAAAGATAACGGGTTTTTCAGAAAAGAAAGGTTTTTCAGTAGCATCCCAAATTATGATTTCGTAAATTAATAAGTATTTTTAGAAAAGATTTTGCGAAAATTTGACTCCGATGATATTAGTAAGATAGTGGGGTGTTACATCCTGCCTCCGAGATTTGGGTGTCAAGATCACATCCCGTCGACCTCATGCCGTCAAGAACTGTCGTGCCGTCAAGAACTGGCCCAGTCCTCTTCAGTCCTTCAAGAAATACCGTCGGCTCAAGAACATCCATCGGAATCTGGTTGTACACGGGCGGAGGAGTTGATCGGCGACCCAATGACCGATCTCCTCCGCTCTGTACTGAGAATGCTTGACCCCCGAACTTAGATGCTGCTGTGTACCGTCAACCGTCCGTGGGGACGAGAACTGAAGTGGCTATTTTCTTCATACGTCGGATGCAGGATCACGAAAATTTGGGCCAAGCATATTTGCTCTTGGGCTATGGAAGATTTGGGCTCGCACTTGAAAGAGTTAGGCCATCTCCAACCAAATACCCCATACTCATACCCATTTGCAGTAATTATCCCATTTTGCAGTAATTCATCTGCAACCGAAAAAGCCATTCTCTAACTCAAATGAATATTCTCGGAATATTCTCTTTTATATCAACTTTTACAACTTTTCAATACTACCCATATATTTTACAACTTTACAAATTAAACCACACTATTATTTTAAATTCAATTTAGTATACATAATTTTTCAATAAGTCCAAAATTATGTTATTCTCATTTTAATTTAAAATATATTTTAGAAAGATTGTGTGAATCTATTACCAATCTTTTAATATAATGTTGATAAATTATTTTAAATTATTTGTACAAATTTTAATAAAATAGTTATAAAATTATTCACTAGATTAAAATTATCTTATGACATGAATAATATAAATCAAATTTCTAGGATATTTTTTTATTGATAAAAAATTAAATATATATAGTATGTTTTAGACTATTAATAACCAAATTCATATTAGTTGTTGGGGTGATTAATTACCTTTTGTTTTTCATATTTATACCAATTTGTAATTAAAATAAAAAAAGGGGAAAAAGTATAAACGCAAAAATTGCGATCAAATTCAAATATGCGTTACCAGAAGGAGAGAGAACGGTCTTATGGACCTGTTGGAAGTTGACAGCCTACGATTTGTGAATGGCACAAAAGAGAGACTCCAAGCATTTGTAAACGATGAATAATTGAATAGATGGGTTCTGTCTATAATAGTTCTGTCTTATGGACCTCTTGGAAGTTGACGTCCTAGGATTTCTTAATTGCACAAAAGAGTGACTCCAAGCCTTTGTAAACGAAGAATAAATCAATGGGTTTTGTCTGTAATAGTTCAATATTTCGAGTGAAAAAATTAGGAGAAAATTGGTTTTTCATTTCTATCTGTACAAACTTTTATTCTTAACTAGTATTCGATCTTGTGCACATGAACATAATTTTATTTTATACGTAATATTTGTGTGTATGTATGTAATATTCTAAAATCATAAGTTAGATAATGAGCATATCATTTTTTATAATTTATCGTTAGTAAAAATGAACGATATAAATATAAATGATTTAACTTACATATTAATCTTTATATTGATCGCTATAATACAATTTTTGCAAGCTTGGCTAATTAGGATAACTACTGTATTAAAAAAATATTGAAATAATTGTTATAACAAATGTTTGCGGAATTTTATGGGTCTGGTTATGCTATAAAAAAATAATTAACTAATTTTAATAAAAAAATTACTTAATGAGCTAAAAAGAAATATTATTTTAAATAAAAAATTAAAAAAAAAGAATAGTATATCTTTTAATGTGACTTTATGATTAGTTAGTAGTAATTATTATGTATAAAATAAATAAAAATATATATTATTAAAATTTGAAAATAAAATAACAAACAATTTGAACCATTTATTTCAATATGCCAAAATAAAAAATTTATACGAAATGCAAAACAAAGATGCATCTTCGTGAGAAGGTGTGATCTGCACATTGCATTTGACATTGAATACCGAAAACATTAACACGATGAGTTGACATACAATGCTGAAATCTAACTCCAACCCTTTTGGAAGTTTTCAAGAGATGAAGCTAATGACAATACAAAAATGTATATGAGTTCTTCAGATCCCTATCTGGCCCACTAATCATGTAAAGAGCAAGAGTATAGTGAAACTCAACAACAAATCACATGGTCCTCTATACAAAGCTGTACAAAAATACTAAAAAAAAAAAGCTAAAAGATCTTTACATTTGTATATTTGCCTCATAAAAAGTAATTTTGATCATTTGCAACATGAATAAAAATACTAAAAAAAAAAAGCTAAAAGATCTTTACATTTGTATATTTGCCTCATAAAAAGTAATTTTGATCATTTGCAACATGAATCCACCAAGCAGGGTAACCTGCAAAAGTAGGAACCTGACATCACCACAGCTCATATACTATCCAATATAACCTCATTGGCAATTATAAAATTAAAAAGAAAGTTAATACTTAAAATTTTACCATTCAAAATCAAATTCATTTACAATCGATCCATATAAGCATAATGATACAATGTCTTACAAACTTCCAATCAGTGACTGCAAACACATTCAAAATTAACAATAAAAGTAGAGTTACATAACTTAAATAAAAACAGATTAACTTTTAGGCTCAAACGTCAGACAACTTTATCAATCAAGAATTTTCCGAAGCATAACTGGCATAGTTAAGTACTTAAGTTGATCTAACAATCTTCACAACCCACTAAAATGTAATTAACTCAAAAAAGCCTTGAAGAATTGTCTTAAGTTGATTTCAAGACCATACATGTAATTACAACTCACAATCCCAAGAACTAACTGGCAATACCAAAACATAGAAAAAACCTTGACATAAAACCGAACAAATAAAACAATGTTATTGTTAAAGAAATATTTATCTTAAAAATAACCAACCCAATCTTATGAGTAATGGAAAATAGAAAACACGACAAACCATCAAATGTATACTTGTTGGCCAAAGTAAGAAGATTGATAAATTACCTTTCCATTACGATTCAGACAGAGATCAATAACCCTTTTGAGTCGGTGCTTCCAAGTGTAGAGTGTTGCGAAAAATTAATGTATGACCTAAGTTCAAATATATTACAAAGCCGCCGTAAGTATTACATGTAAAATGTGATTAAAATCAACAAACGAAGGTTAAAATACTAAAAAGAAGATCAATTACCAAAATCAAATTCTTCCTTATAAAGTTATAAAAATAAACATGAACATAATAAATCAAATAGATAGAGGAAATGATCTCAGTATATGAGTTACAAAATAAATAATGTAAGATGAGTACATCATGATAGCATAATGATACTACCGAAGTTCCTTTTGGTACATCAACATCAACTCTAAAGACCTCCTTAAACCAAGCAACTCCAATTTACCACTATTATTATTGGTCAACAACCTCAAAGAACAAAGAAGAAATAACACAATGTTAAAATTACACAAGCTCGGAATCATATGTATATAATTTTGAGAAGAACAAATAAATGGACAATGGAAAAGTAAGCACTATTTTTGATAAGAAACAACATTAGAATCTAGTTCATAGTCTAAACCCCTGCAAGAAGCACAATCTATTATTAATATTAAACATTCAAAAGAATTCCACAGGAGCTACTCTGTGTATATTGGGAATATTTCTAACAGTTTGAAATCAATACACATTATGAAAAACTCACTAATTCGTATAGTGAAGAGATAAATGGTAATTAATACACAACTAAGAGGACTATAAAGCCTCCATGCATGCGACAAAAGCTTTCTTTGGACCCTTAAATTTGGAAAAATATTGATTCGAACATAAAATTCTCCATTTAGTTAAATTCTTACGTAATATACGGATATTTAAAACTATAGCTGAAACTACCCATGAAACTATTATAGATGAAATCTTAAGAAATGCACTTTTGGATCCTACCTGCTTGGTCGCCTTCATGATGTGGAGCCCCTTGACAACCTGACCAAACACCACTTTGAATAAGTACTGGAACAAGTACTGAACAAGTACTGATATTATTCCTCGTCTACAAAAGTCTGATTACCAGCATGTTTCTGAGTCTTCACGTGAATAAGTGCATATTAGGTCCCAACGGCAGTCTATCACAAAAAAAACACAGGCCATGACAGTTGAATTTTCGCAGATCCAACATTTCTATCTATCTATTGTAACTTACAGAATTCATATCTCAAGAAATACAGGGACCAAAATACAGAATTATTAAGTAAAGAACTATAAGGGCAAAGCATATAAGAGAGGGAAGTTCTTACTCTAAATCCGCTTTCATGCACAGTTATAAGCTTGTCTAATCACCAGAAAGGCCATCAACGTAAGATACCTGGGCACATATTAGTTCACATACAAAATTAAATAAATAAGCAAAGCAAGACACTGTTTCCATTGTATAGCACATAGATAAAATAAATTACCACCTCGAGTGAAAAAAGGTCCACAGGCAAAAGATCTGAATCACATTAATTAGTAACAAATCCATCCAAAATTTCATTTAGCATTCTCATCAAAGAGAACGTTGTAAAATCTTTTCCTTTCCTCGGCATCAAATATGCCTCCAAGATCACCACCACCTTCATCATCTTCATTAGCAGTGTCATGGCTGCCTCTCTTCATTCTTTCTTGCCCAACAGCTAAAACACCTTTATTCTTCTTCTTCTTCTTCTTCTTCTTCTTTTCTAAGTTCATTAGGTGGTGCCTTCGGTTATACTCATGAAGTCCTTCCTGCATTAATTCCCCAAACATTTCCTTCACAACAACGAGCGGATCCTTTTCAATCAATTCGGAACCACTGTATCCTTCCCTAAGAAGAACAGTGTAAATCTGATATTTGTTCGAAACATAAAATATACCAGGATGCTTGAGAAGCAAAACATTTAATTTCTCAGGTAAGCAGAATTCTCTTCTAAAATGACCTAATTTGGCAATCGAGACTTTCTTCCACAAAGTCAGAGATAATAACTCATGCACCAAACCTATGGTTCTTTTGTCCGTTTCGTGTGAGCCTGTCAACTCCACATACGGTGAAATGTATGGGGTGGAATTGAACTCTCGAAATCTCTCCCATGATTTGACCCAATTTTCTGGCAAAGAACATGTAAAGCACGGCTCACGATTTTCCTTCTGAGCTAACATCTCAACTGCCGAAACTGCAAAATCTGGATTCCATGATATAAGTTCAATATCCATTGAACTTCGCCTCCCGGTATAATTAACGACCCTGAACATGTCTGTGTGCTTAGGAACAATCCGAAGCAAATAATCGTCGGGAAAGCCAAAATTTCTCTTCAGTTCATTGATTTTCATAACACTGAGTCTTTTGTTTCTACTCATCATCAACAACTTCGCCAGTCGCTTTACGAAAACCGGTTCCTGCAAATCTCGAACGCTTTCTTCCTCCTCGACCAGAAACTTCATCCTTTTCGTTAACTGACAGAAATACTTATCATTCTCGAGGTACACTTCGAAGCAGCACGGGTACTTCTTTACCCAATTAAGTGCTTTGCCTTGAAGATCGAGGCTTTTGAATTTTTTCTGAAGATAATCAATGGGAGCAAATTGATTCGGACATCTAAGGATTATGTTCTTGATCTGACTATTCACCACCCATCTACGATTTCGAGACAAAGCTGATTCGAGATCCGGGTCTTTCTTCATCGACCACAAAGAAAATTTTCGATGAAAACATTGATGGAAAATGGATGGATTTGTGCGAGGCCTCCAGCATTTTAGGATTTGAGGCTGGACACCAACAACTATTTTGTATCCTTGTTCATACATTATATCCTAAATTTCCTGAAATACAATATTTACTTCTGTAAGAAATAAAACAAACAATCCCATATAAGCATAATTGTTTTACAGTTCAAAAGAGCGTATCATATAATTGCAGCATGTATCATCCCATTCAACTTTTTTCTCAGTTCTTGAATTTCAACCACCAAATATTCGATATGTCAGCTTGATATGATTCTTCCACGAATATGAAAATCAAAACTCACCGCAAATAGATTCAAACGAGTAATTATCGAAATAATTTTGATAAACAGAAAATCCTTCTTTTTTTAACAAAATATTAGCTAAATTCAATTTTCATTTTACAGATACAGAAAAATATAGTGAAATAAAAAAAAATAATCTGTATAATATACAAAATCATCTGTATTCTGTAGCTGTGTAGCTGTGCGATTTGAGAAAACTCGTCGGAGGACGAGAACTGTAGGGCGGGTGATGCAGGGCGATGGTAAGATTTAAGGAGGGGGCTTTTGGGCTCAAATGTTTCGGTGCTTACAGGTTATTACGAGGTTGAGTGAGAAAATTATCAGCTCCGAGAAAAACTACAGCCTCCGGCGGCAGCGACTGTTGCGTGGAACCTTTTCCGATCTCACATTGGCCGACGGTAGTAGCAATGTGACGGTAGTAAATAGTAAGTCAATCGAAAAAAAAAATAATAAAAAGGAGAAAATTTCATCAACATCCATCCAGCAACAAGTACCTTGTCTGTTAGAGGAACGCTTCCGTATGGAGATGATGGCTCAAAATATTTAAGGTAAAGACTACCCAAATCTTTCATTTGGACATGAAAAACTATCATGCTCGATTACGCCTTCCTCAAAAGAACATCCATTCCCACCTCCATAACTTCTAGCATTCACTCTCCTCACTGAACGAATCACTAAACGAGTCCCTCATCTCTCTTACACACTCAGTCTCACACCTATTATCCCAAATACAAAAGTGAAGCCTCACACCACTCACATATCTCATGAAAATATACACTGATAATTATGCTTCATTAAACAAATAATGCAGCCACATTAAATTTTCCCAAGAATATCAATCAACCCTGTACAAACTTAATCTTGAATTGTAAAATCACCAGCCAACTATATCAGATTATCTCAAATTTAAATGTAAAAAAGAACAAAGGGGAAATTCACAATAACCAATACAAAAGATGCATTTTTCTTTTATTGGTCTTCGTGTGCTAGGGGAAATTCGTTAAGCTCCATGGTTCACTCACGCCCCCAAATTAAGCATAGTTTA